AAAGAGTGTGAAATATACACAAGACATAGATCGTCGTGGTAAACCACACCTCAGTATGATTGGTAGGTCGATTTTATTGTGTAGTGCGTCTATATAGATTGTCGTCGAGTCTCGCCGGAAACGAATTCGGAACTATCGATTTTCTCCAAGTCTTTTTCGGCCGTACTTTTTGTGCCTTAAGTTCCTCCTACTTCGAGGCATAGCGATACTACCGATACTACGACGGGAAAACAATTCCTTTTGCCATCACGGGGGACCCGATTAGTTCGAAGAGTCCCCGATTAATAACGTCTCGGACAGCGCGAAACGGCGCCAAGTTTTTCGACCGCTCTATACCCGGATCTCGTTCCTCTGAATCTCTCCTGGAATTACTCCCAAACAATTCCTTACGGACACTTTATACCCGAAACGAATATTTCGTTTTCCTGGTGTGCTCGAAACACAAAACGTTCGATCGACATACCCGACGTATAATACGTCGAAATTTGCGATTTCCATTAAAGTTAACGGCTTTAAGTAATAACGGGACGAACCCATCAAACGAGAGTACGAAAAATAGAGAATGGCTTTTTCTTTCTAAATAATTGGACGACAATAATCGTCGCCGAGATCAGCTCGACGAGTGCGAAAAATTGGAGCGCGATAAAATGGCCCTTTGTCGGAGAGTTTGGTCGGAATTAGACATGTCAGTTCTTTTATCAGTAATTCTTTAGGCGAGTGTGAAGCTACAGAAGGAATCACAGAGAACAACATTCGATCAAAAGACGACGACGTAACACGCCATTCGGCGCGACGATTCCGTCGCGGTGTGCGATTTCGCGCGCGATTTCCGCGCTGTCCGCTTCGCGTGCGCGAATTAGTAATGTTGCTGTTTCCTCAGCAATGATATGCATAGAAGATCGAGGCGGGAAGCCAGAGCAAGCTGGGCCCATACAACCGCATCGCCGCGCCGACCCCGTTCCTGCCGGGCCGTTTGCGCTTGGATTTCGACTTGGCTCGTCGTTTCCGCGAGTAGATCGCGTTTGTGGCGTTGGTGGGCGACTCGATGTTGCAATAGCTCAGGTCGCAGCAACTTATGCAGATCTGAAACGAAATAACCGAATTTATTTCACCCGGCTCCGTCGGCATTTCTCTCTTAGGCTCGCGATATTGGCGGCTAGAAAAACACCCGGCGGGTTTTCTTTTTTTTTTTTTTTTTTTTTTTTTTTTGTATTTTCGTTTCTCCGTCTCATTCTGTTGCCTCGAGATTGTTCGAGAAACCTCCTCCCCCGGGTACACGACAAAATTCGCTATTTCGCACCTGCTGCGTGTCCATGGGAATGCAACCGACCAATCCTGGCCCGCATTCCTCGCTGCTGACACAAGCCTTGCTTACCTAGAACAGGAGGAAGCGATGATAGCGCGCGAATGAAGGCGATAATAGAGATTCCGGCGCATAACGAAATTTTTGAACCTCGCGATCGGAGCCGAATGACCACTCGCGCAGTTTGAGAAATATAACTATAACAGATTTTTTTAAAATGGTTAGCGAGAATGTCATGGCAACAAGGCTCTTTATTCCACGCTTATTTCTTTATTAACCTTAATTTTAATTAAAGAGCTGGGAGAAAAATTGACCCATGTTAATAGCATAGTTAGTACTGTCGCATCGGTAACGCGCGACATTAAATTATCCCGTATTATCGTCAGGCGTCGGAACGTGGAAAGTTCCATCAAAGTTCATCCGTTGGTACATCGACCGGACTCGAGAAGTGCTTAAGCTCGAGAGGGTCATCCATCTCGGCGTCCAGGCCCGAATCCGTTCGCGTAACTTCGTTCATTAATTGCCCGAAAATCGATTATCTTTCTAATGTGAGTCAATTAGCCACATACGAAAACCTTTAATTGGTTTTATTTAACCGTGTATATACCGTGGTTGGGCAATAACGAAATTTACTCCAATCGTGAGAATCGATGGTTTGTTATTACTAGTTTATGTTTCCTTTTCTACGCTCATTGTTTATTATGTCTCGTTTCGAGAGTGTTGTTGACTCTGACAAACGCAACGTTCGTAACTACTGTTTAATTTGCTGAATTGTGACATTAAAATAGAGGAAATATATCTGCAAGAAATAACTTATATTTTTTTTGTATATTAAAAGTAGAAAATTTATATAAGAGTAATTCTAAGTTTAAAAAAATTTGTCTTTAATACATATACAAAAATAATGCATAGTTATGAATGCAATGTATGTACAGCTTTTTATATAAAACATTTTTCAAATATATATTTTGTAGTCTCGGAGATATTCAGCTTTAAAACGAAATATGTCGAGGGATCGAGAGGAGCTGCCATCTCTCCATTCACGATAAGGTACATATAAAAACATAGGCATCTCTCACTATGAGCTATTCGACAATATATATGAAATTTATGAAAATCGTGAGGAGGTATTATAGTTACGAGCGTGCCTTTGCGCAATGTATCGCTAACAGAGTAAATGAAAAAAAAAATATGCTTGCCAAGACGCTATTTCCCCGGCTGTCCAGAATGTGCATCGATTGACAGAAATCACGGCCGCCTGCCGGACACGGCGTATCTATCGCCCATTCGTTGCACATCTGCAAGAATAGAAATAGCAGCAATCTCGATGCAAAGTTTTCATATAAAAATCAAATTTCTTATATTGCCAATATCACCGCGTATTTTTCTTTGTACGAAAAAAAAAAAAAAAAAAAAATTACGGAAACTGACGTCAACATAAAAGACATAATTGCAAATGTAAAAAATAAAATTTTTATTCTTTTCGTATTTTTTATAGTTATCACAAATTAATACTTTTCCTAATTAAAAATAATTATTTACCATGTGAGAAAATGTATTTTGTACTGAGTTTGTTTTATTAATCTCGCAAAATTCCAATTCAATATTCTGCAGCTCACGAATTAATGATCGCTACATTAAACCGCGGCGCATTTCTGCAAAGAAAAAGACGATAAGTGGAAGGGGAGTTAAAGATAAGATCGGAACTATTACTGCGAAAGAGAAGAAGCGGAACGCAATAAGGGGAATTTAGAATAAATCGAAATCGATGGCGGAACAATCTACAGAGTTCTGCAAAATTGCGGCTGGACCCGGTACGATAGGGCCATTACGGGAGACTCTTAAGGGAGCGTTTAATGGAGTCGTCGATATACCTGGTTATCGCTGACGTTGACACAAGTGTAGCACGTTAGACCTGCAACAGAAAGCGTCGGGCTGAGTAAGTGCGTCACTGGGACAATCGGGACGGTATGAAGACACGTTAACTCTTAATTGCGCCGTCGTGCTTCCGTAGAGATACGGGAATTCTATTTGGGGAGAAAGAAAATTAAAGGGAGCATACACATTCAAAGATTAAACAGGTTTAGAACGTCTGGACGTCCAAGAGTTTAACAAACCGGGCTATCAAGTTTAATAGTTTGACCGTCGAGTTTGCCAGAAAAGGACTTCGCGACAACTCTATCGGGATGGAACAATACGGTCTTATGCGGAACTTCATTTCGTTAAAGCGAAGTTGTACGACCGTGATTTTATCATGGCCGATAAAGGAGGAACTTTTGCAAGGGCGGATTGTACACGAGGAGTGCCGGCAACATGTCATTGACAGAGAAAGGGTTGCGGTACATGTGCAAAGTTGGTAGAAAGGATAAGCGGTAGGTCGGAGGAGATTAGTGGCGTTCGATTGCAGGATCGGCGAGCCGGGAACAAACTCGAGTTAGCCCGAGTAAATCTCTTTCCCTCTCGCGCTCTCCTCTATTCCACCGGTACTCTATCTATCCCCTAACCCGAACCGTTCCCGTTCATTTTTCTCGACGATTTAGCGCGCCGATACTCACGGTAGATGTCTTCCTCGTCCGCGCTGACGCCCTTCAGGTCCTCCCGCCGCTTCGCTTCCTCCTTTTCGTTTCCGTTTCCGTTTCCGGAGAGGACGTTTCTGCCGCAAGTTTCCGCAGCCAGAAGCAGCCCGACCATCACCCACGTGATCATTCCTCACATCTCTGGAACGACAGAAATGGGGTCGCGCATTACGTAAGTGACCTCGACGGGACATTAGAGAACGCCAATTACTTGGGGAGGAGAAGGGGGGGGGGGGAAAGGGGACGAGAAGCATTAGAGTCAGTGGGAGGAAAACGGATCGAACGTGAATTTTAATTCTGATCGATCACGCCATATCGCGGATATCTTTTCACGGGAGAGAAATGATAAAGGGGTGGCTTTATAGTTCGGAAATGCCCGTATTTTTGTCATGCATTTCACATGAAATGTAATTGTCCGATCTCTCTCTCTCTCTCTTTCATTATAGCTGTCATTGAATAACATGTTTATATCAAAGGAACGAAATTGGGGATTGATTGCATTTACCGCTAAATGCAGATAATAATATAATAGTAGTATATTAGTAATTTTTGATTTGGGAGAATAGACATGTCTCTGAATATATACGGAGTGAAATACATAGCAGTAAAAGAATGTAACATTACCAAGTAAAAATAAAATAGAATATGTAAATGAGGAACATAGAAAGAATAATCGTATAATTTTAGAACCAGAAATATATGAAAAAAAAATAGAAAGGAAAAATATACAAGTTATCGTAATAATATACAAAAATAAATAGAAAGAGATAAAAATACGAAAATACGAAGTTGCTTATTTTGCATTACATATATATATTAATTAAGTGATAGGAATTTTTATATGTATTTCTTTTGCTATTATATATTAATTTTTCTACAAATTTACGGTATATTTTTGAATTTGAACACGTCTCGGGAATGAAGATACATGAAAACTGTGAACACATTCTTTCCTTGGCGAGGAAATTCGACGATGTATGTTGGTATTCGGATTCGGAATTGCGAAAGCAACGAGAGACGTAACGAGAATGGCTGATTTAAAGTGTCGTCCCCGTCGGCGGGAATCTGCCGTTTGCGTACATGTCGACCAACGGATAGTCTCTGTCTCGGGTGAATGTACATACCGATACTGGGATGTCGATCCGAGCCCCGATTCTGGGACATGGGCGACCTATCGGCCGACGTCAGTTCCGTGTGCCGTATTAGGGTCTCGACGAGTCAATGGATCGAACGTTGGACCTTTCGAGGTAGATAAGGTCGTGTCGTGGCTTTTCCCCCTCTCCCTAGGGCCTGAGTCCGCTACAAGAAACGCTCTCGCGATGACAGGCAACTCCTAATCGAAGTAATTAATTCTGAACTGCATGATTGGGGTCTGACAACCACTTTCCAATTTCAGCGTAATCAGCAAACTTTCAGAAATTATTATTATTTTTTCCATCACTTCGATATGAATAAGAGAGTTAAATTTTTATAATAAAGCATTAGCTTTATTATTATAAGATATAGAGAATCTGTCGCTCTGAATTTTCTTTTATATAACTCAATTATTAAATTCTTTTTTATTACTTTTATTACTCAATTATTTATTATTTTTATTACTTTTATTACTCAATAATTTATTTATTATTTTTTATTATTTTTATTACTCAATTATTAAATATTATTTTATATAACTCTATTATTATTGTGTGTGTACATACATTTATATAAGTTTACATTATCCATTCGTGATACTAATATAATCTCTCTTTCTAAGAGGAACGATTAAATAGTAGTTTGAATAGAGCTGTTAAGAAGCAATCATAACTTTTTGCTGACAGCAACTTTAGGAATGATATAGTAATTGCATCTCGCAAAAAATATCGTGGAACGTAAAAGTTGATACATATAATCATAGCTAATTTATGCCAGTTTTAAGCTCGATTGCTTTACGCACTTGTATTTAATTCATACTTGTAATAGGACTCGGCTCGCCCGCTGATGTCACTGTATATCTCCTTGCTTACGTCCACTTCTGAATATTCTCGAGAGCTTGAACTCTCTTGAACGGAGTTGTTAATTACACACTTACTAACTTTGCTTTTATCCATGCTCCACTTATTCGTGAAGTTTGGCGCTGGATGATATATATAATGCACTGTATTTTTCTTCCTTCGTTTCGCGACATCACGAAGGAATATAACTTTGTGGCAAAATGGCGTTTTTACGTCCGAGAACCCGTCCCGAGTTTACCTTTTCTCAGTTCTGTTTTAATTAGTTCGAGTAGCTGATGGAAAATCGTGGAAAGTAGACTGCGCGAGGTAGACTTTATGCGATATGCAATATACTCGATTCTTTTAATATATGCGATATATTTTAATTAAAAATCATAGACTATTCAACATCTCGTTTGCTTAAAGTAATACTGTTGAAATAAAGCGAGAGATTTATATTTGCTTTAATGATGAGACGCATCTCAAATCTCCTCCGCTCGTGTTGCTTCACCGCTCACAATTTTGAGGTTTAATTATTCAGGACGGACGGAAGTGACGGATTTCACCGAGCGCTTTGAGGCCCATAATTTGGATGCAGCTTTGTAAATGTATGTAGTCGCGCACCGCCTTGAATCTTCGCATAAGTTTTCGCCGTTTATGCAAAATAACCATGCATCAAGATAAGAAAATCACTTTATGGAAAATGGCTCGCGCGTGGAAATACATGTCACGAAACACCTGTCGCGCAAAACTTTTTCGCGAGCGTGGCACAGCACCGAGTTTGACAAAGCCCCACCATTTATTGGCCCTGTCTCTCTGACAATGCGAATACCTTTTCTCTTTCATATCGATGTATAGTGCTATTGTCCTGTCTGATATATGTATATGCATGTATTTTTACGGTCGTGATTGAAATTTTACCACATAATATTGTTTAAAATTAAAGTAACTCACTTTCACTCAAAGTGAATTGTCTATCGATCGAACAGAATCGCGTAAAATTTCTATCGATCAAATTTCAGATTGCCGCGCGCTAATGATTTCAGCAAGTCCTGTAAACGGGATGTTGATCGAGTAGTTATGTATATCGTCATGCGCGTTATGCATGTCTGGCTTTTGATCGAGTATAAACGCATTTGGCGTATCGGATTACGGAGGATGCACCATTAATTCTAGAAAATGTAGCTTCCATTCTAAGCGCAGATTTTCAAATGGTTTAAAATTTGTAATACTATGCGCATCATAATCCGATAAATTATCGGAGAATAAATAGATCAGAAGCGGAAATAAATAAAAGCGCAATCCCCTGTGTTAATCATGTTATACAGTTACGCTCATCGACCTTCGAACAAATCCCCGTCGTACAATCATCACGTGTATATATTTAATTACTGGTCAAATCAATTAAAATAGACTAATCGACGAAATTATCGATGACGTTTCATCTCATCTCGCGCGAAAGCTATCGACGGGGAATACTTTTTTTTCCATAAAAACAAATGCCAATTTAATTCCGCATCAATCATGGCGGCCCCGGCGTCCTCGAACTCACGATTAGCTTAAAGGGGAACTATCTTCCAAGAGGCAATTTTTTAAGAATATTTTCGGGAAGACGTTAAAAATATTGTCCTCTACATAAATAACCAAAAGGCCCGAGCAATATTAATTCACACAATTTTAGTAACGATTATAATATTTTAGAAACAGTTTGCATCATAAATTCAAAATATACATGTAATAAAATTAATATATGTAATAAAGATTCTGATTATAATCGTGCAAAAATTTTCAGATTAAATGTTTATGTAAAGTTTCGCATTCGAGAAAATATAAGGAAGAAATAAATGAAACTATTTTAATTCAATTTAATTAATTCAATTTAATTATTTTAATTAAAACATTATCTCTACAGGCGAATTTTAACGAAATTACGTAGAGGAGGTGTTTTATATTAAACGAATATTCTCCCGATGTAAAATGATCGAAACGAATGGACGTTTCAACTGTCCCTGAATAAATGACTATGGGTAAAGTTTTGCGTGCAAGAAACACATGAGAGGGCAGAACCGGACGAAAATGTAATTATCGCGTCGATAATGCAAGAACGCTATTTAAATTATTCACCGATTAAGCGCGACAAGCAAAGTCGCTTGGACATAATTCCGGATTTTCTGATTATCCTATCCTAAATTATATATTCGCGTTACTTGCTTCCTTGCCTATTAACGCGATGGTAATACCCGGTGTACATTTTCAGCGTGTTTTCTAAACATTCATAGCAATGGATCGGGATAATTGTAAACCCGGGAACCGTCTTGTCCAAAGTTACCGTCGCAGTCCCGGATGTAGATGGATATTAGGCTTATCGGATGAATAGATTTACGCTGCGCCATAAATGCGCCGGAAATTGAAGAAAAACAGGTCGATGGTAATCCCGTGTTGAATTTTGTACGCTTTTAATGCGTTATGATAATATTACGTTAGATGTACGTTTCGTGCCGTACAATCCTAAGCGTTATGCGAGAGATCCTCTTTAATCCGAAAGACCCGCGAGTGAATTTTCATATACAGTTTCAATATTTGAACATAGTCCTTGACACATTTATCTATTACATTATAGTCCGATAGTTTCATATACATACTGACTTTATTATATAATATATATTATATAATAAATATAATAATAATAATAATAATATATATTATATTTATTATATATATAAAATAAATATAATATATATTATTATTATTATTATATTGGAAGATATATATATATAAACATACGTGCCATACTCATTGTGTGATGCTCCTTTCATAAACCTTTATATTTGCAGCTATTTTATATGGTGCATTTTTTATCTGTTTAGGGTGGCAGCTACACGCTCGAGGATTTCAAGCGGACTTCATTTATGGAATGATTGCGACGCGGGCTGGCAAAACACAAAGGGTAAGTAACAAAGTGTATTTGCATGTTTGCGTTCGTTGGTGAATCTCGCGCTGGTATCGCGAGTTCGTCAAAGCGATTTGCCATCTATTGTTTATCCGGTGGTCGCGATTCATGTAACCGGCGTGCTTTTCTACCTCTGAGAAAGAGAGCGAACGACGTAACAATGCAGCGACTTTTCCGAGGGATACGATGTTCCGGGTCAAGAGTCGACCGGATTTCTC